AAAATGTTCAGCTTCAGTGAGAACATGGTTTCATTTCACTGTACATGCTAGTACGAAAGCTTCTTCCAATAGTTGTACTATTATATAGAGATTATAATTATAATTTATATAATTTTCATCATCATTGTGGTGATACAAGTAATAATGAAAAATAATCAAATGAGCACAAAATGCAAAATACAGTAAGATAACTAGTAGTAGAAGGCAAGAAACACATCAACCATAGAGCCTAATCATTCATCTAATTTGACAACGAACATGCCTTTTAAATGTGCTGAAGATTTAAACCCAGTTTCAAGAACTGCCTACCGCTCATGCAAAGTATGAGAATAAATATTAAAAGTCCATTTTGATAAAACAACAGTGAAAAACAAAAGGATTAGTACATGCTTACCATAGCATGTTAATGCTGCTCCTAACATAAGCATTCCAACAGCAAAAATATCTACATACACCTGCAACAAATTTTAAGTCACTAGATCATAATAAACATTTTTCATCACTCAACAATGTTCTTCAAAATTATAGGACAGATTCTAATAATTCAGGACAATTAAGGCATGACCATTATTTATGATCAACTCATAAGTTAGCACCATGGCCGATTTCAAAATCAAAACTTGTAAGTAACAATCAGAGTTTACAAATATATATATTCACTCCATTCACTTATGTGAAACCATGTCATTTTCTTTTTTTTCTTTTTTTTGTTACAAGAGGATTTGAATCCTTAATCTCAACCCACACTCCACCCTACCCTCATTACCTGAGCTAGCCCCAGGTAGCTATCATATCATGTATTTAAAGAGAAAAGTAAACTTCATCTTTGCCCCATCATCATATGCTACAAATCTGCTCCTTCCGTCTTTCCTGAGGACAAACCAACTCAATGTATTTCATTAAAAAGAAAAAGATTCTCCCATAAAGGACGCAACCACTTTCTCTTCATGTAAAGCAGTCCCTCCAAAGCAGAAAAGACCAAACTTATGATTTCCCAAGATGACCTTTTTGTTTCTTTTCTAAGAGAAGAATTTTATTATAAAAGAAGGAAGCATAAAAAGTTGAAGGATAAGAAATCTTCAAAATGCAGGGTACAAATAAAAACTCAACATGATAATACAACAAATAAGTCAATAGAAGTATTGACCTCTAAACGATCTTTAGAATTCAATGTTATTATGATATAAAAGCTTCTTTTACAGAAGCAGAGTTACCCCCCTTGCTCTTGACAGAAAGAAATTAACATAATCAAAACCGATATTACTATTCAAAGGAAAAGTAGCCACAATAAGAGGATAAAGACAATACCAACTTGACATATCAATCAGAAATTTAAAGAGCACTGCATAGCATGAAAAGATATAGCAAAACCATAATTACTGTGTCCATACCCGAGCAGCCACTGCTGAATCAATGGGATTCTTCCCTAATCCAATCCATATTATTACAGCAAATACCAGCATGATGACAAAAACTAGAAGTGTAACCTGGTGAATCATGTCCAAGTGAAATACTTGAAAAAATTACATCCTAATGTGAATCATTAAATGATCATCAAAAGAAAGTGGCAACATGATACAACAGAGATGGAAACTACATGAGCAGATACAGAAGAAGAAACACTCAGCATGGCGCATACCAAAAGTACAATCTTCTGCCGATTACCAACATGAGACAACCGAAGGGGAAACCATTTTCTATGGCTTGCTCTGCCTGCTAAAGTACAATCATTAAAGGACTTTCTTAGTAAAGTTTCCTCAGAAAAGCTTCCTTCATAATCATCGTCATCATCTGGCTGATGGCAAAGATCAACCCTGTAAAATGAAACCCAAGAGCAATGCAGCTTCATGGTCAGGAGAAAGGAAAATATGGTAACTGAAATAGTTATACATGTATAAATGCAGATGATTGCAGATAACTTGAAGAGTTAGATGATCATATGCTATGTTTCTTTTCTTTTCTTTTCTTTTGTTTTTTTTTTTGGGGGGGGGGGGGTGGGGGGGTTTGAGAGTTTATATCAATAACATAGAATTGTTTTTACTTTGAGCATTTATTAAACTATATAATAATTAATTTAAAATTTAAAAATAAATTAAATGGTAAAATTTAAAAAATATAATATGATAAAAATATATCTAATTATTTTAAAACTGTAGTATTAAGATTAAAGTTAAATAAAGGCATATCTTTAAAATTATATATTTATGCAAATTATTTATATTATTTTCAAAAAGCATTTTTATATTAAAAAAACCTTTGAAGGAGGAGACCGCGGATTGCAAATTTTGGGGGCAATAATATTCTATTGTATACAGTAAGGGCTGCAGAACTTGCAGTAAGCCTTCTGTCCCTGCATTCCAACATAGCAGGGGAAAAGAAAAGAAAAAGAAAAGGGGATGAAAGTCTCCCCATCTGCCCTGCGCTGATTTCATTGGCTGATAGAACCATGTGACTTGCAAAGTTTAAAACATCCATCAACCTATTGTCTCTTAAATCAATTTTTAACTTATTTTAAATTGTATTATTTTAAAGAATGTATCATGAAGATTAAAGTTGGATACAATTGTCTTTAAAAGCATGAATTAAAATTAAAAAAAAACAGTAAAAATGTTCAGAAAGCTTCGGGAAGGACAATATCACTACAAATGCATGTACATACATGCATGTAACACAATGCTAGGGGTGGCAACCATGCCCTTTTACGAAGACGTGGCTCTGTCCTTGGTTTCTTTGCATATGAAAACACGCAAGAATTGATAGAGGAATTCTAGTAGAAACAAAAGGCAATTCCAGTAGATGAAGTATTTTCAAGTGAATCCACAATTTAATTTCAGAATGTGGCTTCAATGCAATAAATTTAAGATCATTAAAGAAGACGAAAATGGAAATGACAAAAGAAAAAAAAAATAGCTGAACTGCTGAAGCATGAAACGAACAGCAGCACATGACCCATCTTTGGGGCAATCTGGTTCACAACCAAAAATTATCAGAGTCCTAAGTTACTCTTTTCAGAAAGCATATGCATAGGTCGTTATCCCTCTATTTAAAGGTCATGTTCGTCTGCGGACAATGTTCTTATCTAACAACATCTCCCAGTCTTGCTCTCTTAGATTGAAGAAAAGATCGCAACACAGAAATGCAATAAAAAAGGAAATAAGAGAAATTATCAGACAGGTAGACAGACAGAAGGACAAAGAAGAAGGATCAACTGAGAATAATGAAAGATGACGGCAAGAACTTGACATAACATATAATTTGCCAGAAAACACTGCATGTAACTTGAAAATTCACATTTCTATAAACCAAACAAGAATTTTAAAATAAATCAGATTACATACCAGAAGGATAAAAGTAGAAGAAATGCTGCAAAGAAAAGTATTTTAGGGAAAGCTGCAAGACAAAACATCAACAGTTTAATCATTTTGGTTAAGGCTAAGACCTTTTCACAAATCACAAATTTCTAGTTGGTAACGAAAGGAGGTATACCCAAAAAAATAAAACCACAGGAGTGTGACCAGCACGTCCATCCATAGCAAGTACCAAGAAGTGTCAATACAAAATAAAAGAAGAAACCTGAAATATGAAATCCCAAATTGAACAGATCAAATGGAATCAAGTACAGAAAGCAAACCAAAACAACAAATTAATGGCCAAACATCTTATGTTCATTAAAAGGCAAAATATATATATATATATATTATAAGAAAAAAAATGGAACTATTTAATGTATCTGGTGATGATTATGTCAGGAAATCAATTGATTATCATATAGTGACAGAAAGAACTAAAGGCTCAACTCTCAAGAATGCAATGAAGAATGACCATGCATAAAATTAAAATGCAGCCTATAGTGTTTTCCCATCCCATGCTGGGCATCAAGCTAAGGTCAAGCCTGACTTAGCCCATGAACAGTCCTATAGCTATCTAAAACTTAAATAAATTATTTATTGATAAGCATAAAATTAAATAGTTACAATTTCTCACAAAATTCATAATGACCAGTATTTAACAAAATAGTAATCGAGTAACCTAATTTCAGATTCACATGATACAAGCAGCGGCTTTCATGAAACCTGTCTGGAAAAATGCTATTCAACAGTGTGCCTTTCATTAAATGTTAAGGTAGCGTGTGTCACTGTATGTACAATGTGCACCCTCATATGGATAAAGTCCTCCTCTCTTAAGTTGTTTGCTTTTGCGCCTATAAGGCATGCATGAGCTAACTTCATGTAAACAAGTCAGGAACAATACATTCGAATCAGTTTAACCATACTTTAAAGCAGTGTGAAAACCTTTATCTTTAGCACCTACAACAATGAAAACGCAATTATCTAAAACTTTAATTTCATAATAAAAATATTACTTCAAATTTTTAATTCAGTTTTCTTCAGATTACTGCCTTCAACAAAATCACCTGCATGCCCTAACTTTAATTGTGTCTTCTAGAGAGAGAAATGTGGCTTTTCGGGGTGGTAAGGAGCATATCATTCTTGTACTTGTGCCTGGTCTGTAATGTGTATATACTAACCTTTCTACATATAAACTGATTAAGATCGAAGCTTCCAGAGAAAAACATAGGCCCCAGGTCATAATCAACCTTGCTCAGAAAGTGAAAAGACTTGGCATGCTACTTAGCACAAAATTATATTGTTAAGAAGGCAAACGTGCCAAAATAGAGCCAAAGAAATGTTCTTTTCTAAGGATTCAACATGCCTATGTTCAAATTAATACTTGACTCATGCACACGACTTGGTCACAACAACTCAACAGGGATTATGAAGCTTAGTCATGAAATGCAGTTAGCTCAATCAAACCATAAAAAATGTGGAAATGGCATCAAAGGAACAATCAAAACTGCAAGAGATATTCCATGCTAAATAAATTAACAGTTCAACTAATCATTAAAAGTAAAATAGAACAAACCCAAACTGGAACTGCCAATCATTAGATGAAACACCTGCAGCACATCATATTTACATCTCATGAGAAGCTAATATATATATATATATATAAAGCAGTGAAGAGTAGTTGCGTGCAGTAAGCCTAGTGACATACGTGGAAGTTCATACCATAAACATAGACATCCATAAAGAAGCCATTAAGAATAACTACAAGAAGTATCATATTTCAGAATACAATAGACAAAACATAAATTAATCGCACTCCCCATGTACACCCATCTATGGTAACACAGTGTTAAAATTAAGTACACCAATGACACTAGGACATCAAAACTGTGTCATCCATCACCAGATTCTCCTTCGTTATTCATTACTAATATTTTCACATTTTTATCTAGCCCTCCAACACACATACACCCACACCAGCAAGATTTAAAAAGAAAGATAGAGCCTCTAATGCACAAGGGTGGCACATATTGCTATCCAGAAAATAATGGGTAGTTACTAATGTAGTAGTCATTGCATATATAATATAACTTAAGATCTGTGCGGACAGAGTGACGATCTGGGATAGCCATATTAGTTCATTATATATCAATTCAAGAATAACAAGAACACAATCACCGGTCCCGTACAATTTACAGCCATTGGTATATATCTTATTGGGCTAATTGCTGCTGAAATTAACAGCCTCTGACATCTTCACAATTCATATATGAGCCTATTTCCAACAGCCATGTTGTATGCCATAAAAGTAGACAACAGTGCTGACCAACAAGAAGGACCAATTCACAAATAACAACTTCAACACGTTCATTCAGTTAGAGAAGAGCATATCCATATAGCCATCCAACGTGGAAAACATGTTACATCAGAGATTCAGAGCTAAATCACGTTGACAAAGAACAGATTGGAAAATGCCCTTACTTTTTGCCGAGTCCAGCCAACTTGTGAATTCCTCATGTGGATTCTTATTAACTGTGACAGCAAGAGAAAGCAACTGACAATCACTGCAAGGAAATAACTTTCACATTGCATGCATCACGGACTTTAAGATCTAATATTTTTTGAAAAGCATCCCAATCGTTTATAACGGATGATGTAAGAATCAACTAGGATGTAACTCAAATCAACAGCGCCCGATGCCACTAAGCTTCCCAATTGCCCTAACTGAAACCGTTATTACTATACACTGCACAATGCTTGCAATTGTATCCCTATTCAAATGGGTTAGTGACTTAGATTTGACAACGGACGTAGTCGATTGAACATTGACAATAAATACAAAATTCCAACTGTTTGTGCAAGTCTTTTAATAGGTTAAAACAAAGAGCCTTGATACAATGCCGTAATCATCGAGCTAAGAACGAAACCCGATTATAGAGAAAGTACAATGTAGCGACGAGAGTTTCAACATGCACACTAAAAATTTTCAATTGATTCATGCATGCATCATCAAAAGCAATTCAATCTCCCAAAGTCAACACATTTCCCGGGTCACACAATTCATAGGTCACTCACAAAGACGAAGAAAACAACAACTGGACACATCCCATTTCACAATTCTTCATCTTTCTGCATACCCTCTTCCCCAATTAGATGGAAATAGAAAGTGAAAGCGGAAATGCATGAACCAATCTCAGAGCAAAACCCACAAATCCAAAACGATAACAAACCTGAAGGTATGCAAAGAAAGAAATAATGCCGTCAAGAAGAGCAAGACCCGCAATGACAGCCACCAAGACTCGTGGAAAACAATACCCTTCTTCTCTCATTTCAAACATCCTCCTCCCAAGCCGTCCCTCTCTGTCCCTACCAAAGAGAAACAGCGAGTTCGAGCAATGTCTGCAGTTCCAAACAGCGAAACCCACAAACCGATAACCAAATTCCCTGAAGGGTATGGTTCATAGGGAGATCAAGTGGGCTTTTTTCGCCACGGCTTCTGGTAATTTCCCAAGGTGCTAGAGCGAGAAAGAGACAGATAGCAGCTCTGTTTCTTACATGGGTCGGTTTAGCTATTTTTGAAGGTGGCATTATGGGTGAATAAGGAGTAAGAAGAAGGTCAATGACGTAATTTGAGGATGTGATTATGTTTTTGTGGAGAAAAGATACGCTCTGATGTCCAATTGAAATCACGAGGGTGGTGGCTTTCAGACTTTAAAGATAGAAGATTCCGCCGATCCCTAGTTGACTTTGTGGTTTGACTGACTATAAAGCCTAAAAATCACATGCATTAATTAGTTTTAAAGTTTTAATCCTTGTATACAAGAAGTTTATTTTTAATTTAATATACCAGCGGGTGTCACAATTCACCTTCAAATTTAAATTTATTTTTTAATAAAATATTAACATTCATGTGATGTTAAATGTCAACTTTTTAAGTGTAATTTTTTATTTTGCCTACAATGCCAACTAAAAATTACTGTCCTCTCAGGATCTAGTTTGAGGGATTATCTTGTGGAATATTCTTGCATGATTTTATATAACATTATATATATAGATATAATTAAAATATAAATACAAAGCATAAAACATTAGAGCTGGAGTTAAAGTAATGACATGTATGTTGAACAATTTTTGACGCAAACAATAATTTTTTGGATATATGTCAAAGGGCACATGATGATTGTCCTTAGCTCAATGCATTTTTAATATTTCTTTTCTTTTTTTTTATTTTTCACACATAAAACTTTTTCCCTCTTTTGTAACAAAAATATTGATAAAAATAAAAACTATAATTATAATCATAATTATAATATATGGATAAAAATTATAATATTACAATATCATATCATTTATATTCGAATGTAGGTCCTCATCTATCATTCTAGTTTTTAGAAGGATTCTTTTTCCAAAAAAAAAAATTGAAAACGCATTGATTGCTCTGATTAAAGCGAGCACTCATAATTGGTGAAGATAATTGATTGTCCTATTTAAACTTGTCAAATGAATTAATTTTTATTGACAAATAATTAAACGTGATTATTGGTAACGTGGTAGGATTACTTCGCTTTTTCTTAACACAGTTTGGCATGCGCTTTTGAAAATTATGATGATGATATGGATAATATTTTATATAACCAAAAAATTTATAACATTATTTCATCAATTTAGCATAACAATGATGAGTATGATCTGAATTTTCAAATCAATGAATAGTCAAAGTACAAAAATTTCAATACAAGGAATGTTCGGCATAAATAATGTAAAAATATATCATTAATCATACATCTTATTTGTAATAAATTTTCCTTTACAATACATTATAACAAGTGGGTCAGGTATTGTAATTTAAATTTATTCCCCACATTTAATACCCAATAATCATGGTTTGAATTCTTACACATTTTTTGTCGAACTTTTTATTTTAGTTGTGTCTGGTATAAAATGGGAATAAAAAAGGAATGAAAATGAGTGAGCTCTCTTCCATAACCAGAAAAATTTCTCTTTTCAATAAAGTCACTTTGTTGTCTGCCATTCACAAAAAAAAAAAACACTCAATTTCCCTATTTTCAAATAACCTTTCAATGTACCAAATGCACCATTAAGATTTTTCTGAGCAATCAAAAAAGCTCCATCCATTGAAATGGGATAAGCTTTGTAAGAACAAAGCATTGCTGCCTAAGTAAGCTTGGAGAGTTATCAATTCAATTGTTAGAGTTTTAGGCCAAAGAATTGTTCTAAACAAGTCAGACGGTGATCTTATCATCCTTCAAACATATCCTGACATTGTAAAGGGATTCATAAAGTAAGAAAGACAGTCACAAATCATCGTTAACAGAGTGTTAATTGGTACAGCTTATTTTGTCTCAATGGCAAGCTCTTGAAGCTATAATCATGAGGTAATGTGTTTGAATGCTGTTATTAAAAAAAAAAATGCAATGGTTATTTAGTCGTGTTTGGTGACAAATGCATGTATCTTGATTAGTGTCATGTAGGATGGTGAGAAAACTTATTCTACATGGTGTTTAGAAGACATTTTGTCCTCAAAAAATTGCTCAAAGCAATTTGTACGTTATGATATGCTTAGTATGAGTTTGGGTGGCATCGGTCGATCCAAACTTTCAATTTATTTGCATTGATTGTGAAATGCAGAAGTTATGTGAGACTGGGAAGTTTTCTAAACCACATTTTTAGAAAAGCTAATACATGTGCTGATTGACCTGCACATAATGCATGTTCTTCTAACCATAAGACATGTTCTTATGGAACCTCCCATAAAGTATTTAGCTATTGTAAGCTATGATATTATGAAGAAACTCATGGACATGGGTTGATCCCTGCTGTTTCTTTCTTTAGGCTTTTTACCTTCTATTGTAGTAAAAAAAAAGATGCAGAAATTACGCGAGACTGGGAGGTCTCATAATATGTCTTATTGAGTTGGGGTTACAATTAGATGGAAAAGCAGTGAATTAGTAAGAGCAATATGCCATAGCTGTGGCATACAAAATGCTAATATAAGACACTAATCCCTCTCTTACTTGGGTGAATTTTGGAAGACTCCAGACAAAAATTCAATTACCTCACAAGAACTGTTTTGTTTATCTGGAAATTGGTTAGCGACTCTTTGCCATTGAAGTCCACTTTGATTAAGCATCATCTTCAAATTGAAACTGCTAGTGTTTTGTGTGGAGAAAAGGAAGAAACTAGAGAACAACTTTTTTTTTTTTTTAAATCATGTCCCTTTGCCAAAGCAATTCGTTTTGGATATGATCTTGGAATGAAATCTCCATCTGGTTGGGTTTTCACTGCATATAATCCTGGAGCTGAACATTTGATGTAGCTAAGCTATTGTTCTCCTTTTAATTCACCACCACCAATTAACACATCCTTTGAACTATCCTATTCATGTAGTCTGTAAAAGACAAAGTCAATTTCCCTCACCGACGTTCTCACCACCTTGTGCTACATCCTGCGAATCTTGCTTCACAATCTTGCATTACATTCAATGTAGTTGAGGAACGACTCTTTTGATTAATAATATACTCAAAGGTTTGATTGGTAATAGAACACAATAATGTCATGTAATTTATGCAACTGATTCTATCTAATAGGATAAAGCTACTTGTTTTTTTTTTATTTTTAATGCATTGATTATCCAATGTTCTTAAACACAAAATATATTACTATATCCCTTAACCTCCAACTAATTCAAACTAGCACTTTGTCAAGTCCAAATTGAGGAGAGTTCTCGCAGCTTAACTCTCTTCATTTGTCTATTAAATAGGTAAGTGTGTGTAACTAACGGAAAATAAGAGTTAGATTTTGCATAAGGAATTAATTTCTCTCAATATAATAAATTAAAGTTTATATTTTTAATAGGAGAAGTATCCACATTTAATACCTGATCATGCCTCGAATATAATTACTTTTAATAAAAAGATATTTATGAGTAATAAAAAAGTAGGTGCAATATTTCTTTTATAATATTTTCTATTCATGTGTATATTACACAAAACAAGTGTGAGACTGAACCTTGTTTTAATCCTCTCAAGTTGGCTCTTGATCAACTTTATATTTTTCTCATTTTACTTTCTCACATTTTAAAATCTGCTCAAAATGAGAATATGGTTCTATTAAGTACCAACTCAAATATTGTGACAAAAAACTAGATTAACAATCGACTAAAAGAGAGTTTTAGCCTAGAATGACAGTCATTAACAATGTTTTGAAACCTGAACCGGATGTTGAACCAAAAAGAATAACAGGTCACGATTATCATGATTCAACTAATTAGATCAGTGGTCGCCATAAAAATTAAATAAAAATAATATTTATACACAAATATATAAATAAAACATTAATTTATTAATGATGCTTGGAATCTCGACAGCAAAGACTAGATGCTTGGACTGCTAGAGTTGGAGGCAAAGGTATGTTAGTACAAGCTCACGATCTCGAAGCAAAATGTTGGAGCTAGAGACACGTTGTTATATCATGACTCATGAGCTTTCGATCTCGATATTAAAGGATGAGTTGCTAGAATTGAAGACAGAGACTAGAGGAAAGATCAGAAATTAAACATGGGCTGTGAAGAAAAGATCATAAATTAAAAATGAGAATATGGTTTGAATAAGGACCAACTCAAATATTGTGGCAAAAAACTAGATTAACAATTGACTAAAAAAGAGTTTTAGTCTAAAATGACAGTCATTAACAATGTTTCGAAACCTAAACTGGATGTTGAACCAAAAAGAATAACGGGTCGCGACTACCATGATTCGACCAGTTAGACCAGCAGTCACCATAAAAATTAAATAAAAATAATATTTATACAAAAATATATAAATAAAATATTAGTTTATTGATGGTGCTTGGAATCTCGATACTAAAGACTTAGATGTCTAGACCGCTGGAGTTGGGGGCAGAGGCATGTTAGTATGAGCTTGCGATCTCGAAGCAAAATGCTGGAGCTAGAGGCATACTGTTATATCATGACTCATGAGCTTTCGATCTCGATACTAAAGGATGGATCGCTAGAATTGAAGATAAAGACTGGAGGAAAGATCAAAAATTAAGTATGGGCTGTGAAGAAAAGATCATAAATTAAAGAAAAGAAAATAGAAGAGAACTAGAGATTAAAGGGGGAAAAAATCGCGAATCTAAGCGATTGAGCTTAAGTTTTCTTTTTCTTTTCCTTTTTTAAATTTTTTAGGCTCGAATTAGGTTGACCCACTCTTATTTCCCAGTCAACTTTGGTTCTCTTAAAACCACTCAGGTCAATCCAATCCAAATGTCAAGTTGACTTAATTGGTTGAACTAGGCCATTTTGTTCAATGGGCAATGGTCGGACCATCCGATACGGTCGAGTTTTTCACATCACCGGTCATTAAAGCAACAGGTTTGGCATTTTTTTAAAAGGTACCATAAATTAATTGCACAGTAGAATTTGGACAACAGAAAGGTCCTTCTAGATAGCAAATGCTTGCTATTGTTGGTTAAAGGAAAGCTTGCTACTTGGCTAATATCTCCCTTTGTAACCATCAATACTTTACACAAGGATATGGTACAGTGACTAATAATTATTCACAATGATAGACTACAACTAGATATACAAATTCTAGCTCAAGCAATTCCAATCATACAGAAACACCCCCATTTCAAAGGAAATGGTTACAGATCAAACTCTGATTCCTCGTCAGATTCTTCGTACTCTCCACTTTCCTGCCACATATCAGAAAGCCATTGACATAATTTATATAAATCCCCATTAATAACTGTGCAAACAATAACAGTGCCTATGGAAATGACAGATTCTTTACCATTTTCATGTTATATTCGATCATTGCTCTATCAAATTCTGCTCGTTTTTCAGTGGCTATATCGTAGTATTGAACCTTCTCCTGTAAGATACAATTACAGTGTCATATGCCAGTACTCATTCAAGAACTGACTTTGATCATACAGAACAACTCAAGACTTTGATCATTAAAATTGATTTTAGCCAAGAATTCCCATCAGCTGATACAGTATAATGCTACTTCCGCATCATTTTCCGGAATTGAATAGCATGCAAGGAATTTCAAGGCATAAATCAGTGGCAGCATCCACCATAGTTCATCTTGGTAAATATAAGAAACAAATAATTTGTTCCATACATGGTTTTATTAAATTTACATTTAGCCGCATTTATACATGCCAAGATCAAGTGCAATGAAGCTGCACAACTTCATGCCCAAATAATTTGGAATACAGCTCCAGAACCAATTTCGAAACTTCAATATATGACTAACTCCGATTCTATCTTCTAACATAACAATCATAATGATGCACTTGATTGCTGAGTCTAAATAAGAAAATATAAGGTTACAAATACGAACCTCATAAGTCATTGTTTTCCACTTCTCTCCACAAGCCTTGCCAATCTGAATGAAAAAGAGGACGAAACAGAAGCAGAGTTAGGATACTTGTAGAAAATAAGAAGAGGTGGGAAAAAAAAGTTCATTGGCCATTTGCACGGCAAAGTATTGAACTTTCTTGCGAACTGCTGAATAACTGGCAGCTTTTTTCATTTTGAGAAAAAAGGAATTGCTTAACTTCTTAGTCATTAGATTTTAAAGACTTTATTAAGTCTTTACACAAAAAGTTATGCCATTATCTTGCTTCCCAGTCAAAGATATAAATCAAACTAAAGTGTCACTACAAAATGAATTCTATACTTACATCACGCATTGACTTAACATCTGGATTCTGCTCTTGAAATTCTTTACGAAAATCCTCCCTTGAAAAAAGAAAAATTAAAATTAAAAAAAAATAGTAGTAAAGGATTGTAATGCACTAAACATACGACATAGAAGTACGAAATGGTTGTTCAATATAGCCACTATGCTAGGTTAACGAGCATTGACACAGTATTATATAAATAGGGGAAACTGCATCTAACCAACCAGATTTTTGCCTCCAATTGCAATGCAGGCCCCAATTTAAAAACATTCAATCCCCCAGTCTATTAACCCATTGCAATAAGCCCCCTGTCAGCTAAATTAAGAAATTTAAATTATGTTATTATAAAGTACCTTTCCAATTATTTAACAACCTTTTTGTCATTTTCTTCTTCCCCGGCCAATTTATCCTTGTTCATGGTTTAATCCTGATGGAGACTGAAAAATACTTGATTAGTTGATTCTAGGGAAAGTAGCACTCTTCTCTATTTAGTCACAAGAAGAAATGCAAGACTATCCCCCGTTACTGCCAAATAAACCCAGAAAATGAGGAACAGCACAAAACAATCACAAACGAAAAAACACAAAGCTCCCTGACGTTCAAGAGGTCAGGACTCTCCCCCACAAACAAGTCCAAACTTTTCCTAACTCCTACAGACAATATTCTCTCTAGAAAAGCCTCACTCCCCTCTGTCAAATCTTTTGTACCCTGCCCATTCTCAGCCCTTTGTAAACTTCGTCCCATTTCTTCTTAGCAGGCTCTCCCTCACACCTCTTTTTGCAGACCATGCCCAACTTCTCTTTCGATCCATCCAATCCTATTTCATTCAAACCACTCATGTTGAAATGTGAATAATCACTCAACAGAATTTCCAAAGAACCTTGAGATTTAATGACAAGAAAGAAATAATTTTTCTGGCGGGGGGATTTTGGCAGGTGTTGTGGGATGGATTGCAAGTTGAGAATTGGGTTGTGCATTATATGTTGATAGGTTGTTTCAAAAGGCTTAAAAGCAGGAGAATGTTGACAGTCAATGGAATTTGAATTAATTGTGGAAATAGAAGCTGCGGTTATTAACCGTTGAGAACATTGGAAATGACTGCATTGAAGAAGATGATGATAATGAAGGAGGATACACAAAAGTGTGCGAAGGCAGAACTTTCTGAGGCCAAAGGCTGAACATACCCTTGCATTGTGAAGATAAAACTGAGTTACAGGTACCCATGGCCACTCTTCTCTAGCGCATGTAAGAACAGGACAGAAAGTGCAATACAATTAATGTTTAACTTAACAAGACAAAGAGAAAGTGCGCATTTAGATTCTGTGATGGGTGATTATCAAGCCTGTTTATCTGTAAATTGATGGAGTAGAATAATATGGTTGGGAAAAATAAAGAGATGGCCAGACGGGCTATTAAATAATAGAAAAGGTGTTATAGTAATTTTATATAGTCAAAATTTTCTATTTTAGATTATAGGAGTTCTTTTTGGATAACATTAGACGATAGCTGCTCATTGCAATGGGTTTAATAGATCAGAACATCACTTGCAAATTTCTGAAGGTAGGGGTGGACATTGCAATTGGGTGCAAATATTCAAGTGGATAGATGCAATTTTCTCATACAAGCCATCAGAAAAACAAAAACTAAGTAATTCAGCAATAATATGGAATTAGCATGACAGGCTGTTGATATCTTTCATCATTCATAGTTGCATAATTACATACAAAAGCAAGAAAAATATAATCCACAAAATGCAAAAAAGTGCGGTCACTAGAGATCCACGTCAGCAAGACATGAACTACACGAATATGGTGAATCATCTATATGGAAATTCTAAATTTTTTTTCATGGTTGTATGGTATTTAGCACTGTTCCAGTTCATAAATCCATGAATTTTAATAAAATTCCATATTCCCCAATTATGAACAGTACTTTCAAAAGTAAATAATATGCAAGGAAAGATCTTCGCATTAGCGTGTGTATGTGTGTGCGCGTGCGTGAGAGAGAGAGAGAGAGAGAGAGAGAGAGAGAGTAACATCAACTGCTGTAAGCTGTTCATTTTAACCAGAACCATAAACAATTCTTAGTATCTCAATATTTTGAAGAAATCCAAAATACACAAGAAAGATGTTCTCATTGCTACCAATATAATACTACAAAGCAGCGTACTTTTGTTAAATTAAGCGTTTCCATGAAAAGAGCCAACAACAGGATCATACAAAAAGCCATGTGTGACTCCTTAGCACTGGCCCCTCACGAGTAACTGATAATTACCAGCATATATAAAGAGAAAAGGAAGCGAGTAAACCGTACAAGAAGAAGAAGAAAGCAGTTGGGGGTTTCTTTGGCTTCTTAGCATCAAGTTTTTTGTTAATCTTCTTTTGCTTTGCCTTGGGTTTCTTCCCTGACTGAGTCAGCTGGGAAGATCTCTTCGTCCCCTCATTGAATTTTACCCTCAACACTACCGTGCTGAAAATTCCAAAGCAACAGTATATACAGTCATGGACAAAGTTCCGGAAGATATTTAAATAAACAAAATTTTGTTGTGCATGAGCTGTGAAGGAGAAAGAGAAAAACTAGAGTGCCAGACCAAGTTGAAATTCACGCAGCTACTTCATTTGGTTTGAGACCATAGAATTCATCACAGAAAAATGTTATAACAGATTCCCACCCAGTTTTGAATTATCAATTAAACCCTTCGTTACTTAAACAATTAAATACTAAGCAGTCCCTGTAGGGGAGCAAAAAATTTTCAAAGAATTAAACCCAAACGAAAACATTCACTTTCCCAGTATTGAAACAAAAGACAAACCGGTAAGTCAAACAAAAAAAAAAAACTTGAGAGTCCCAGGTCCCATCCAACTTTAATAATCCATTTAGCCATTTGCCCCAGTTCAATTTTATCAATTAAATGCGAATATAAATCTTTATAAGGGAGCCAAAGTTTTTCAACCATTAAATCATGAGGCGAATTGGTGAAACACAACTCTGAATTGAAACAAGTTAAGTTGACATGATGAAATTAGCAAACCCAAAATATGATCGAAGTTGTTGGTTCCGTTGGAACTAGGAAATCAAAAAGAAAGTCAATGGCACTATAAAACAGTGACAAGAGTTAAGAGACAAGGTAAGAGGAATGAAGGCACAAGCGCTCATGCGGATATATGATAGCTAAAAGAGAATATAGTGAAATGCTTACCTGTCAGAAGAAGTTCTTGTAGAGCGTTCATCGGAAGCAGAAGCAGGGGGAGGTGAGAGAGACCTCTTTCGCGACCTCGTGGCTTCCTTTGCCATGTGTTTTCTTGTAGGGTGAAGCTCCTTGTGCCGCTCGGTTTGGTCCGCTTAGTGTGTGTCTGCAAGAAAGGCCGAAGCTTCACAACTTTGGTTTGATAGAGCGAGTTGGGTTGGGTCGACACGGTTCTATTACCAGTGGAATCGGGCCGTGTCTCGATAGATGAGATATGATATGATACGATATGAGACGCCCATCTGGCGGCTCACATTTCAGGCCGACATGATAATACTTGCTACACCAAAAATGGGAAAAAAACGGAAGGAAGGAAGGAAGGAAGGAGAGAGGTGGGGTGGGGAGTGCAGGATTGGATAATTAAAAAATAATAATAATAATAATAATAATAATCGGTAGCCAAAGTACAAGAAGGACGTGTAGGCTATTTGCTCAAGCATGTTACATCTGGAAAGCCATATGCCAAATAAAAAAGTCTTTGCTGAAGATCATAACACGAAGATATAATATTCTCTAATACAGAAGTGAACACCGGCATAAAACTCTTAAACAAAAGTCAATCTTTTGTCAAAGGGCAAGCAAATAACCGAAGCCAAATGTAACCCTTTTGAAGCAGGCTGAGTCAAACTCAACATCAACAATTTGGTTGACATTAATGGAATTGTAGCATGTGATGACATCTTTTTTGAGATAACAAAAGAAATTGGATCAAATAATTTTTTAAATATTTTGAATATCATTCCAACACAATCACTAAATTCTTGGAAATTTTGAAAGATATTAACTTTTGTTGAAATGTTAAATTTTCAAAAATTGATATATACTCTAATTCTATGAAAGCTCTATTACTCATTCAACACAAATTTAATAAAAAACCCTTGCTCTCAGGAACTATAAAATAGATTAAGGGTTTTGATATGAAAGACTAGAGAATTATCTTTGATTATCTATATAGATCAAAAGCAAATAATATACTAATCTAATTGCTCACCATTCTTCTTGCAACAACTTATACATCACTATCTTCAATTGTCTGCCTGCTGGGTGCAAAAATCTTAGAATTTTTGACATGATTTAATTTATGTTGTCTCTTTTCACAGTTTTTTGTGACCTTTGTACTAAAAAAAAAGGAGGAAATTGTTGGTATTTGTAATGTTGTCATTAAAAGAATTTTTTTTTTCAAGAGCAACCAAATGAAAACTTTTGTAAGGAGAGAGTTTTTTTCCATAGCTATTTAATTTAGTTAGATTCAAGCACTTTGAGTCCAATTAAGAATACATTTTTCAAAAATGTTTTCTACTTTCACATGGATTCAAGGAGGGAGCTTTCTTCTTGTCCCCACTGCTCTTTATTAATACATACGGAAAATTAACACAACAGATGCTCATAGACATGCTATCAGATAGGCATTTTATTAACTTTAGCGCATGTTGGATTTGGAAAAACGACGCTCAAATGTGTTCCTATACAGGATATTTCGTGTGCTAAAAAATAAAGAAAAATTATGATATGGTGTAATAAGATATCCTTGAAATTATCAGAAGAATTCTGGAAATTGAGATGAAGCAGACTCTATATATACCACCAACAAGAGAGCAAAAATGGACAGGGTTTGTGAAAAACCATTCATCCGCAAATAAAATGAAAGCAATAATATGGTCAATGACAAGATTGTCCTTGTGTTAGATAAAGTAAATAGGATTGCTCATTCTAAAGTTAGTACGAGTGTTTGGTGGGCAAGAAAGCTCGCAAGTTCGATGAAGAGAATGAGAGATTGACTAGAGAAATGTGCCAAGTGGAACCCAACAAGAATATGTGGCTGAACTATGAAGTGCAAGCATGATGCTCTTATCTTTCTACATGTGTTTTTAATTATTTTAGGATGTGCTTTTATATTATTATGTGATCTTTCTGCAAGAATTTAATATCAAGAAATTGTCACATTTTGATTAGTGTGGTAAAATAGTTCTTAACAACAGTCTTGGAGCATGACTTTAATTGTATTTTCACCAGATTTTTCAATAATGATTACTACTGATCAATGCAAGGTTTAGTTTTGAGAAATGCTCCTTTGTAGCAAACTAAATAATCATCTCTCATCTTAAAAAAAAAAAAAAAAAAGCTGATATGCAGAAAAGGATTCAGAATCGGTCCAGATTCATACACTTTATGAATCTGTCTCCCGCGAACACGAGTGTCCTTCCGTTCAAGAATAGCAATTTTGTGAGGAGGTTCATTGATAGTGTTTAAAAAGTCTCCTCACACGAGAGGAGAAGGAAAGATATATAGAAGTTTATAGTTAATTAGTTTATATTTATATTAATTATAAAATAGTGTAAGAAGAGAGATGAAAGAAGTCCCACGTGGCATACATATTTTTTTTTTTGGGAACCACGTGGTTTAGGTGGTAAGTGGGGGAAGGGGGGATTTGTTAAAAAAAAGAAGAAGAAGAAGGCAAGCATTACAACATATCTTACTATAAAGAATATACAGGACGGTTCTTTAATAACTATCCTAAATTATCTTTAATAACCATCTTAGATTGATTAAGCAATAGATTACTGTTATTAAAGAACCATCTTATATGTTGGTTCTAAATTTGGATCTTAAAGGCTTTGTAGGATAGTCATGGCCATAACTATCTTATGATGCCAAGTTTTTTTTTTTTAAAAAAAAAAGCAGTCTGCTTTTTTAGCAGTCTCATGCAATATAAAAGCGTATATACTTAAAAATATTTCAGAACAGCTTAAAAATAAAATTTATATAGCTCAATTCAAAACTATAATGTTTATAATTTAATTATGTCAAAATTATTCTGTTCAAAATTGAATGAAATAAATCAATCAATCTAAACTAACATACCGATCCCTAAAATATCTAAACTATATGTTGATAACTACACTAATATATTCAGACAAAAATCCATGATCAACAGTAAATAATCAAAATTTCATCAATTAAACTCAAGAATTATCTAATTTAAATTCATTTTCGACCAACAAAAAGTGACGGAGTAAACAATAATCCCATCCAAATTCAGCAAACATGGAAAGATTGTAGTTGAGTGAGAGAAGAGAGTTGAGAATCATTAACCAAGAAGCAAACAACCTCACACGAGCACGATGGTGAAGCTAACAGACAAAGTCGACAATGTTGGGATGGGAAGGGAGCTCAGTTGAGTGACATCATGGATTCAACAGGTTCTGGGTTCACGAATTTCAATGACACCTTATGGCACTCGAGTGGTTTTGGCTATAGGTTTAAGCTCTTGAGCAGCAAAAATAGTGGGAGGCAACGGAGGAAGTAGGCAACAAAAGGCTCACAATTTTGAAATTGAAAGAGGAATTAAGGATTTTAAAGCCATTTACAGGACGCTTATTTAACAAAACCATCCTCTATAATATTAAAAACTTACAGGATAATTATAAATTAAAACCATCCTACATATGTTATTATTTTTTAAAAAAACTAATTTTTTACTCGCATAGGATGATTTCAAAATGAACCATCCATATAGGCGGTTTTTTTGAAACCATTCTATTTGTGTCCCTTCTCTAGGTCAAATCTCGGCTCTACCTCCTTATATAAGACGATTGTATGCACAACCGTCCCATATAACGCATCCTTTATAATTATTTTTGTAGTAATGAAAGCATTGATAATGACGGCTCATGTCAACAGGCTGTAGTGATATATTCTACGGTTTGGTTTTATTGTAAGATATACACACACATATATTTGATGTTTTCACATTTGTTAAGAAAAAATGTTAGTATATAATTAAATTTATGAAAAAAAAAATATCATAAGACTCCAGTTTATATTTATGATTTACAGATCATTGTTATAAGCATGTGCTAAAGCAAAGCACTTTTGAAATTTTTATGCAACACCTTATAATTTGAACTAATACAGTAATCTAAAAAACAGTTTATGTAAAGGATCGGATGGAATACGTGGCAATCAAAGAGTCTATTTAGCAGAGAAGGCATCATAATCTTGTTTGGTTGGTAAGAGTAATTAAAATGGGGAATTGGGGATTGATGTTTTGGATTTAAAAAAAAAAAATGATGCCGCATGAAAAGGGTAACATCATTTATGAGTTGAAATCAATTATTAAAATTCGCCTAATAAAAAATTAACACAAAAGTTCATGGCTCTTTTTCCCATTTGATTTTTAATTGATCCATTATCAGTTGATTGGATAGGAAAGGCATGCTTAATTGCCAAGTTTTGGATTAGGAGTATTAGCTGGGGTGGGTTTCTCTCATCTTCCCTCCAATGCCTCTCCATTGCAAACCTGAACCATTCAAATTAAATTTATATTTTTAAAAATTACTAAATCTAAATTATCAAACCTAGTTTAACAATCCAGCAATATTTCTTCTAATGTAAGGGATGAAAGCCAACTCTATATTAACCAGGCTTTAATTTAACTATTTATTCTTGGTTTTTTAAAATTGTCTTGTTTTTCTTTCTTTATTAATATTAAGAGAACATGATTGGACCAATAAATTTGACTGGTTGAATTGAAAACTAGTCTCAAGTCCGGTACAAAACCATGAAGAATTGGTCAAATTGGTTTCAAACTAGTCAAGCCCAGCAAAATTGGCAGACAAATTGGTTGAACTAGTGTTGTCATTTTTTAAATGTTTTTATTTTTAATTTTTTTAAATTTTAATTCTTATTTGTAAATTACAATTTATACACATTTATATTTCCTAATCATTGATAAATGAAGAAAATGAACAAATATGCCAAAAAAAATGTGTATAGAATATACATGTGTGGGTGCGGGGTATTTTAAAGTTATAACATAAAGTATGAAATATGCATATATATTCTAGATTAAAATGATGGAATATTGATAGATATTACTTTTTTTTGGTTTTATATATTTTGTTTGAAATTTAAAAATTCATCATTATTATATAGAATTATTTTTTTATATTTTAAGCATATATTATTTAAATATATTAATTTATTTATGATCAGTTGAACTATAGTTCAATTCATGGTCCAACTATTGAACTGTGAACCTGTATCTCGATCGATTTAATGACCAATCTAATTTTCATAACATTATTCTTTATACAGTATAAAGATCACAAGATAAGATGAATTAGACATTAATTAATATAAAATGCATGAGTTGTGTTAACACACACACACACAACACACGCATGAGACCATTAAGCTCCTGTAACTCCTTTGTAGGTATTTTCATATATCATTGATAGTCATAGACTCAAAATCGATGTTGAAACACTAT